ATTCATGCACATGATTGGTGGTGTTTAGTACGTAAAATTGGTTATAATTGAAAATGTTTAGTACGTAAATTATTTATGATAATTATTTTCATGAATAATATATAGTTTGAATCAAATAAATAATCAAAAGCTAAATATTTATCGTATTTTAAGTAAAATAAATCTCTTGATATTTATTCTTCTGTTGAGTAGAAATTTAGTTACATAAAAATAGTAAGATGATTGGATATAAAATAAATTTCATTTTCTCCAAGTTGGATAATATTTACCTTTGCTAAATTCATGATGAACACAAATTATTTTGAGAAAATACATTATTCATTAATCATATCTCACTTCATATGTCTCACATTTCCTAACTTCTCAAATCTTTGGGTCATTCTCTAATCTCCACAACCTCATGCCTACAATACTTTGGCATAGTCATCCTAAGCATCATAATTACTTCATCATTTTCTACTTCATAGAATTCAATATGGCTTAAACTCACTATTACAACTCTCCATTTTGGCTTTCAAATCCTCCACAAATTTATCGAAATTCATTCGCGACGATCCATTGCTCGTCATCGCATTCTCTAACTTCTTCTTAACTCGTTCGATATTCCTCCTCAACTCGTCACACGAATCTCCGCTCATCAACGCGTTAATCTTCTCCGCAACTTCCTCACACGAAGCAACACTTTTCGCACCGAAAAGATCGATTCCGATTCCCCAATCATCCACCACCATTTTCCGGTTCGTGATTTGATCACCGACTGAAGGGAAGCAAATCAAAGGCACGCCGGCCCAAATGCTCTCCACTATCGAGTTCCACCCGCAGTGCGTCAAGAACCCCCCGACGGCAGAATTCGACAGAACCGCCTTTTGTTTGCACCACGGCACAATCAAACCTCTACTCCCAACACTCTCCCAAAACCCATCGGGCAAAGCTTCCGAGCTCACACACTCGGGCCTCAAAGCCCAAACGAAATCGAGCCCGCTTAGCACGAGCCCGTTAGCAATCATCTTGATCATATCTTGATTGGTGTGCGAGAAGCTCCCAAAAGAAACGTACACCACCGAGCCATGAGGCTTGGCAGCAAGCCAGCGCGCACAATCCGATTCGGCCCACAAGTTCATTTCGACGGATGGGTTAGTGTAGTAGTGGGAATCGAACAAAGGCCCGATTGCATATGTGGGCCGGATTTCAT